GACTTCAGCAAAATCAGAAAGCATAGGGGGAAAAAAACATCCTAGAGGGGTAAGTGGGATTATTATGGTACTTACCCCAATTAGGAGGCTTTCTACAGAAAATATGAAACACTAGTTTAAAAAGTAAAGACTTAAATGATAGAAAGCTCACAGTAGGTATACTCCAGGTTTAATTCATCAGCTCAATAGCATCATCAAGGACTCAGGTTCTTTCCACTTTCTGCTATGTCATCTCATCATGTTGGCTTTGTTTTCAAGCTGGTTCCTCTTTGGTAACAAAATGGCTATAGCAGGTCTACTCATTACATTTGGACATGCTAATATCCAGGGCAGTTGCCTCTTCTTTGTGTGTATCTTTCTTTTACATTTTAAGAATGAAGTTTCTTAAGATTATATTTAAAATTATTGGCATCTCTGTGCTGTCAATCTCTTTCATCTTTCCAAAGCATCAATAGCATCTATTAAAAACAAAATGTGTAAAATAATTCTGATATTACACATGGAAACATTGCTGAGTGAGCTGGGGATTTTTAGGGGTGGGGTGAAGAGATGGTGCATAGACTAGTAGAAGGTGAGAAGCTAGTGGGGCATAAGTCCAGTAGAAACAGAAGTTCAGAGGGAGCAAAAGTTTTGAGCCAGGACTTCTTGAGCAATCAGTTTCTTTTCTTTAACCTCCTTATTTCTAAAAGATTTGTATTCTATAACTTGCCTCAGCTAAACTTTCTTTGTCTCATATTCTAAACTGTCTTATTTAATCAATAACAACTACTGCACCACCTTCACAATATTAATTTTAAGCATTTCATTCATTGAATACCATCTCCTTTCCTTCTAAAATATTTTACTGTGCAAACTTCAATATTCCTTTGACTCAACATGATCTCCAATTCAGTGACCCTATAAAATGTTAATTGTTCATCATCTTATCATTTGTCTCTTTCTTAGAACCAAAAATCTCCCCAAAACAGCCAAGTAGACTGACCTTCATATCTCAGTGGCCAGAAATGAGTCACATGATCTTTCCTAACCAAAACTTGTAAGAAAAATAATTACCAGTATTGGTTTAAACCAAGCAGGATTTTTTTCCTGAGGTGGGGATAGAAGATCTTCCTAAGAGGTGAATACCTACACATAGATTCCAAGGAAAAAGGAAGAATAAATGTTGAATGATTAATAGTAACTGCTATAGTATTATGTATAAAATTTATCTTTTAGCTCCAGCTACAAGTGACAGTTTTTGAAGTCACTAATCATTTGTCAAGAATAGGATAGGTATCGGGAAAAGAAATACACCAAATGATAGCTACTTTTCTATCTATCACATTCCAGAACTGGTTCTATTAAATCCTTGTTGGATGACTTTCGGTAAGGCATTTAACCTCTGTATCGATTTCCACATCTATAACATGATATAAATATTGTTCTTCACATGTCATCGGATTGCTGAAAATATAATTATACTGCATAAATACAAAGCAATACCATTTCCATATTTTAGCTACCTCTACTGCCTATTTGTTCTATTTTCATTTATTCATTCATACATTCACTTTTTAAACAAATAGTTGCTGACAGTCTACTAAATGTAAGATATTGGATGAATATTTGAGAACCAAAAAAGTTTTCACCATGGTTCCTGTATCTAAGGTATTTAACCAATGAATGACTTAGCAGTAACTGCTTTATCTCTTGGAGTACATAAACAGAAAAGGCAGTGTAGGATATAAGACAATAATGGTGAAGTAGGGTAATGAAGGGTGTTCTTTGTGAAAATATATAATGATTGCTTCAAGTGGAATGTGAATTGTCCTGTTTACTAAAGTGGCTGTAGCCAAGTTTGTGAGTTCACAGGTGTCTACACTGCTTCTCTAGCTTAGGTATTGTTGTATTTTAATATTTACTGACCTATAATATATATAGGCAAAGCAGCGAGATAGGTTTATGCTACAACAAAATAGCAAACAAAAACTGAAAGAAAATTGCTTCATGTATGGGCTAGTGAGACAACATGAAATTAGCATTCATGAACTAAGTAAAAAACAGTTTTCCTGATGAAGAACTAATAAAGAAAGAATCTTTGTTCTGAAAGTTCTCCATTCTTCAGAATGAGAAAACATTGATGGCTTCAAACTCAGCAGACACATTTTTATAAAGATCCAATAACTCAAGGAGATTTTTTAAATTTTGGAATCTCACATTTCAGAAAAAAATGAGATGTTAAAACGCAACTGCTATTTTTCTATACTTGTTCTTGAAAAATACAGGGGAGAAAAGAGATTTTTACCAGGATTTGGAACCCACTATTTATGTTTGTGATGAAGGGGACTTCTGGAGAAAATTGTGTTTCTGAGCAACAGGGCTGGCTTGTGCCGGAAAATCATTATAGAACAGGACTAGAAAGTGAATAGCTACAGTTTTCCCCTATTAAATAGTAGTAGCAAAGCATAGATAAAAATATTAGCAACTTAAACTTACCATAATTGTGTATCTGGTTTCTCAAACAGTTCTGGGGATTTAGAACCAACATTTGATGGGAAGGAAGGATTCACAACATCAGAGTCCTGAGATATGTCAGGCCACTAGAAGGGAATTTTTGTCACTGCAAAATAAGTCCCTTAGCAGAGTATAATAGAGAAGGTAAAACAGCAGGTCACCCCCATTGTTGTGTGGTTCAGTGAAGTTCTACTCATCAATTGAAACACAATTTAAACAATTCAGCTTAACTTTGATATACTGGGGAAAAATGTAGTAGTTAGCTCTCAGTGATGGTGTGTTTCCTTTTGAGCAATGGTATCTTGCAGTCTGCAGATCTTGTGATCTATGCAGCCTGCAGATTCAAACTAGGTTGAAGGGATTGCCACTGAAGCATGGATCACTCCAGCCCAGTCCAAAAACGAGGACCATTCTTCTGTTGGCTTCTTCTACTACAATAAAAACAAATAAGTACTAAATCCATAACTGGCAAAAGAAAGATGAAACATTAGGGCAGTAAGATACCAGAGTTAAAACTTCCTTGGCATAGGCACAAATTAAGTTGCTCAATGTAGTTGTGAGATAATAGCTATCTATGAAAAACTGACCATTTGTCAGTTTACTTGATTAAAGGAGAAGCAATAATAAAAAGCGTTTTAATTCTGCTAAATAAGAGTAACATTTATTTAAGGCCAGGAACTATATAAAGTCTTTATATCAACTGTTTCATTTGGTCCTCTCAACAATCCCATGACATAGATATTATCCTCACTCTACAGAATAAAACAAATTGAAGCATAAGAGTTTAACTTACTCAAGATCTCACAGATATTAAATGATGAAGCTGGAATTCAAATACCATAAAATTTACCTTCAGAAACCAAGTTCTTAATATTTACTGTGCTTACATAGAGAGATTACCCTTTCCCAGTAGCATTTAGCTTTTTCCTTTATTGTTTCTTCACCAGAAAACTATCTTCTCTAATAACATCTTTAAAAGTATAAGTAGATATATCTGTAACTTAAAATATTATATATGACATCATGCAATCTTAAGAGTGGAACCTCTATTTTAGAAGTCCTATGAATAATCTAGCAAAAATAATCTATCCTATTTGTTAATTCAGTGGATTGATTAGAAAAGAAATTCTAACGTTGAACATCTTTAATGATAAAAGTACCACTCATAGCAGCCTATTATATGGGTTTTAAATACATCACCTGAATTTTACAATAATTCTGCAATGCAGAGTTTTCAGACAAGGAAACCAAGGCTCTGAGAACTTGGATAACTTTCCAAGGTGACTCAGTTAATGTGTGGCTGAGCTTGGCATCTAGATCCGAAGCTTATGCACTCTTTGTTCTCTTTGTACTGTATCTGGCTTTTTCCTAGCTAAAAAGACATCATCGCTCAACTTTATCATTGCCACCTTGGCTTGACAAAAAAATGATTGATGTTGGTTTATATAAGGAAATAAACAGCTTACAATGAAAAGATGAGTAATTAAAAGGGAGATAAAATAAAGCTAGAGGCAAATTTAGTTGTAAGAATGTGTGCCGTAGGTTTCGTAAGTAATTAGGGTTTCTAAAAGTTGCTTCATCATGATGGAGTGACGCCTTTAGGAAGACTTGGTAGCTCCAAGACTTAATAGTTCACTGGTTAACATTTAGAGGTACATCGCTCTGGAGCAGAGGCACTTAAGGACAAAAAGAGTAAAGATGAAGATGACTTACCAAGAGCAATTTAATAGTCGTTGAAAGAAAAGCTACATGTACAAAAACATGATCAAAACTTCCTTAAATTTGAATCATCTTACGACTTCTTTAATACTTATTCTTTTCCCAACTGGCCTAAAAAAAATGGGGTTCAAGTGGAGAAACTAAGGTATTATTCAGAGTTATGATGGCGGTAATGTCCAAGATTCTGAGCAATAACCCATGAGAAATCTAGCTGCTGATTTGAGTATGTAATTACTTGGGAGGAGAGTTTGGATTTGAAGTGGTGGTAGAGAATATGTTTGGGCCATGACTCAATGCGCCCAAGTTATCAGGATTTCTGTCTCTACTCTCTAAGCCTTCAGTATCAATAAGCACAATACTCCTGCGGTGCTGTCTTGCTGATGTCAGCTTCTCTAGTCCAGGTTAAGAGACTACCAAAGACTCAGGAATTAAATTTCCTGGAGAACTGAGCCTCTTTCCAGGTTTTTCTCTGCCTTGTTGTATATCGTTTATTTTCAAATCCTAACGGGCAAAAATCCTTGGGCTGCAGGAGGCAAGCTGGGGCAGGGCCCAGGGATCTGCATTTTCAACAACTGCCACAAGTGAATTTGATGTGATAGTTCAGAGCCTGCATTTTGAAAATCAGAGTAGAAAGGGGAAAGAATGGTGATACACGAGACAGCAGTTAAAGGGTGTCCTGTTTTGATCACTCTGGAGACTAAGGCTTAGTCCGGGCTTATTACACCCTGGGAAATTTAAAATGCGGGGGAGTCGCTGACTCAGACCCGCAGGCACCCGCTGCGAGGAAACTCGCCAACGCTCCAGGCCAGGCGATACCAGCTCAACCTAAGCCACACGTCTCCGCAGGTCCTCGGGGGTTTCTACCAGCTTCATCTGAGCCACAGGTCTGCGCAGCAATTCGAAAATTCCCGCCGACTCTCACGGATCCCCTCTCAACCGAGCGTAGGCCACGCACCGCGACTCCCTGGGGCGCGGGCCGGAAGCGCCCCCCGGGCCCGCCCCCTGCTCATCGGAGCCGGAAGTTGACGACTCTAGGCCGTAAGTCGCCCTCCGCGGGCCGCATCGTAGCATGTTGCGCGGACCCGGCTACTTTCTCTGGGTTCCCGTGCCACCCGCAGCGGCCCTGGCTGTGGCTCTGCTGTCGTCGCTTTCGCACTGCTCCTTCCTGGAGCCGGCGGACCCTGTGATTTCGTCGCTCAGCCCATACTTCGGCACCAAGACGCGCTACGAAGATGCGAACTGTGGGCTGCTGCGGGACCCCGAGGTGCCGCGGCGGGACCCGGAGCTGCTGGAGGACACCTGCACCCCATTGCAGCTTGTCGCCCTCATCCGCCACGGCACCCGCTATCCTACGGCCAAACAGATCCGCAAGCTGCGGCAGTTACACGGACTGCTGCAGGCCCGCAGGCCCAGGGATGACAGGGCCGACGCCGTCGGCGGCCGAGACCTAGGCGCTGCGCTGGCCAACTGGCCGCTGTGGTACGCGGACTGGATGGACGGGCAGCTGGTGGAGAAGGGGCGGGAGGACATGCGACAGCTGGCGCTGCGCCTGGCCTCCCTTTTCCCGGCCCTCTTCAGCCACGAGAACTACAGCCGCCTGCAGCTCGTCACCAGCTCCAAGCACCGCTGCGTGGAGAGCGGCGTCGCCTTCCTGAAGGGGCTGTGGCAGCACTATCACCCTGGGTTGCCGCCGCCCGACGTCGCAGGTGACCACCCGGGCCGCCCGGCCAGTGCCCTGTATTGGACACCCCCATTTCCTCCCTAACCACCCCCCCACCAGACCCCAGACTTCCCCAATACCAACCTTCCCTCACTTCTATCTATCCCCAGTCCCCCATCCCTCGAACCTTCATCCCATGGGATGTTCAGGACTTGGCAATCTTCCTTCTCATACACACATTCATTTATTCACTTATCAGGTATGAATTTGACACCTTCTACGTGCATGATGTTGTGGTGGATCCAAGTAGGAAAGGAGACAGACGGCAGTTTTTGATTATCCATTACCAAGTTGAATTGCCCCCTCTGAGCAACAAACTTCCTCTCTTTCCTTTCAGGCAGCCTGTTATACAGTTGGGCACAATTTAAATACAATCTTGGACTTTTTCCTCAGGCTTTGCTTCTGATATCTATTTGGTTCTTTTTAACTTACCAGTTTTTCATATGTTGGTTCTAGACCTACCTCTTATAGGAAGCTTTTTCCTCTCTTTTGTTCTTAGATTTACTATAGAGTGACCCTCGTCGTAGCTGTGTCCATGGTTACGCACATTACTGATTTATTCCATTACTTTTGCAAAATTTGAGAGAGCATATATGGTGGGGCCCTTTTATTTTACTGATGGAGCAGACGAGCCCATGAATATACCTCGCTGATTGCCTTTCATTAGTTCGAAGACTAGAATCAGGCCCAGAATCCAGATCTTCTGTTTTCCCCTCGAATGGTGCTTTTTTCCCTCAGAAAATGTTTAATCAACAGTAATAATAGCAAACACTTAATGCCTGCTGTGTGCCAGGCATTCTTCATTTATTTCACTAAATCCTAATAACAGCTCTTTGAGATTGATAGTATTTCTCACCTAACAGATGAGGAAATTGAGACACAGAAACACTAAATAATTTGTATAATTTCATATAGCTAGGTATGGACCCAGGAAATCTGTAACTTAAGATAAGAATAAAAACATAAAACAATTTTGTGCCAGAGAGACGATCAAGTGTTAAAACTTTTCTTGATCAGTTTTAAGGTAAGAGTTGAGGTGAGACATCATTTAGCTAGCTTCAAAGCCCAAGTGAAAAATTAAATAGACTGGTTTGTCATTTCTCCAATGACATCCTTTCTTAAGCAGTGCAACCATTTCCAAGGGTTCTTCCATTGATTGTGTGTCATGTTATTGCTCTGTGGGCGATTCAGTTGGCTGGTATATTTAGTCACTTGTTGAATTCTGTTTTTTAATTATAGTGAGGCTTTTTCCATTAATATGAGGGAAAATTCCTCACATATTTGTTAAATTAACTGAATGTAGAACATACTTCAGTATAGCTCAGTAGTATATATAGTATGTACCAAAAAGGGGCTATTGGACCTCCTGGGATGAATGAATTTTTGCCCACAGATGGTGTTGTGGGTTTGGCATTTGCCTGAAAGTACAAAGGCAGGGATCAGAATTGTTCAGGATAAGCCCACCCCTCACCATTTTCAGTTTCAGATTAAACCCTTTGCCTAGCTACTTCATTATTATCTGTAGACAATTGTTTTGCCTGTTGTGTACATCTGGGCTTTTGAGGGAGGACACTGAATGAAAATCTTCTGTAAGATTTTCTTACAGAAGCAGAACAATGCCTTTTCTTTTTTTTAAAGAGCAGTAGTAATTAGAGAATAACAAGGATGTCATATCTAGATCCACCTGGGAAACAAAGTTTGATGCCACAGAAACAGATGACAAAGATCACTTTTTACCTATTTAAGATGTTTCCTTAACTGTAATCCAGTTGGCAGTTAAAATGGTCAGAATTATGCATTTCAAGATCTCCTGAAATGGATACACATACACAGACATATATATATAAATATATATATATTTATTTCACACATCCATCCAAAGCAAAATGGTTTAACTAGATTTAATTTTCTGTATACACAAATATTATAATTGCTATTCTTTTCATGGTAAATTATTAGAGAAATAATTGAGATCTGTGTGTTTTGAATATGACTAAAAAAAACTTAAAAGGCACCCTAGTAATTGAAGCATGATTATGAATGGTTTTCCAATACATAACTGTTGCTAAATTGGGAAAATAATGTAACTTAACAAATTCTAAATGGAAAGTTATCAGGGAGCTTCAGTTAGAAAGTAAACCAAATCAGAAGCACCTAGGACAATGAAATACAAAAGCATTAATGTATTTTGTGCTGTTGTCAGTAGTTTTTGTCCTAAGCAGTCTTTTGTAACATAACACAAGGTTAGGAAGTTAATTGAGAAAATAAAATACTCTATTTAGATTTTGGCTTAAAGTAGAAAAACAGATTCAATCTGTTGAATAATCTCTCACCTTGTAATTAGAAACTGCTAATTTTTAGTTTTTCAAGTTTTCTGTGCCTGACAGAAACCGTACTTACATATACTTTTTTGTACTTTTTATGATTTTTATGTATAATTATTTTTGTTTTCTTTAAGAGATCATTGTTACCTTAAGTTTATTGTGTAATATTGTTACAACACATTTTATTTTCGATACTCTGTTTTCATGAATTACAAATGGGGAATAGTCTTGCCTTATGTCTGTCTTGATTAATGTATGCTTATTTCAAACATGCCAACGGATAAATGTTTTTGGTGTTTTTTTCCACACTTGGAACAAAATTTTTAATAACTTGAAATTGTCATTTTATGTCATATATATAAGTATATATGTAAATATATATTTTTTTCTTTCAGATATGGAGTGCAACCCTCCAAGAATTAATGATAAACTAATGAGGTTCTTCGATCATTGTGAGAAGTTTTTAACCGAAGTGGAAGGGAATGATACAGCTCTTTATCATGTAGAAGCCTTCAAAACTGGACCAGAAATGCAGAACATTTTGAAAAAAGTTGCAGCTGCTTTGCAAGTGCCATTCAACAGTTTAAATGCAGGTAATATGCCTGCTAGCTTTCATCTCTGAAAATGAAAAATATGGAAACATGAAGTTACTCTTTTTAAAGGCCCATAGTTGATTTTACATTAAGAAAATAATATGTTCTAGATCAAAAAAATTGTATACCTCTTTCTTCAGTGTGTGATTTTTTTTTTGTTTCTCTCCTTCTTGACTCTTTGTTTCACCTTCTTCCTGACTCCTCACTTATTCTGCCTTTTCTTCCATCTCTACCTTCTGCAGTCTTCTCCCCTTTTATATCCTTCTCTCTGAACTTGCTTCTTGATAGTTATAATATGAATTGTTCTGTAGCTAAAATAACTTCAATAAGTATACTTTGTTATTCTTAATTCTCAAGTCGGGGACTAAAACTTTCTATAAGGTTTTTTCTCCCCACTGCCAAATTTCTAAAATTAACAAGAAAGTTATGTTTTATATAATAAGTCTTTGTGTTAAACGTTTTTTGGTTCTGGTAGGCAGACATACTCTTAACAAACATATTACTTTTAAAAACAAGTTACTGTTTTACAGAGAAAATTTTTTAGTTTCGTTGGACTGAAATTTATACCTCCTCATGGTTTCTTCTGACAGTTCCAGTTCCTCCTCTTTGGATTGTACAGAGTAAGTCTTAATTCTTTGATAGCCAGGGAGAAACTGAATAGTCTCCTCTCCTTACTAAATATATCCAGTTTCTTCAACTGTGCTGCAGATAACATTCTGTAGATATTCAGCCTTTGGAAAATTGTAGAAAATAGTAACCCACAAAGTTTACCTTTTTTTCTCTCCAGATTTAATTCAGGTAGCTTTTTTTACCTGTTCATTTGACCTGGCAATTAAAGGTGTTAAATCTCCTTGGTGTGATGTCTTTGACACAGATGATGCAAAGGTAAGTATTACTTTGGCAGTTTCTTTGCTTTTCTTGCATGATTTTGCAAAAATTTATTACTTCAAGCGGCTTCTCAAAAAATAAGCAGAGTAAGGAACATTACTTACTCTGAGTCTTTGACTAATTCATAATTTTCCTTATACATAGAGAAATTGACTGTTCGGGTAGGGCCTACCTACCTGCAACTAGTTTGGATTCATAACTCTGGAAAACATTTTTCCATTGTAGTTGGATTTCTAGGTCCACCTTATTAAAAATCCATGTAACCCAACATCATATTTTACTGCTGCAAAGGATCGTAGAGTGAATGTAATCCAAATTCTTCTTTTTATAGGAAAGCAAAGCTCAGAAAGGATGAACGGTTTTCCAAATGCCTATTACTTTTATAACAGATTTCATGATAAATGAGTTCTGTGTTCCACCTGGTGATGGCAGTAATTCATCAGCCATTCGTTTGCCTACTTCATGTTTTTTCATCTTCTTAGACTCTAGAAAGAGAAGGGCAGACAGGCGTCTGGCGGCTTTAAGGGAGATCAATTCTGGAATGTTGGGAGCCAGAGAGGTGTGGTAGGAGTGTATTAATTGTTAAGCATTAAGGACTGTAGCGTTGGATAGAATTTTGGTGGATAAAGTGGGATGTGTCTGTATGTATGGATCATTCAGAAATATGGACTTCTGAAACTTCAGTCATCCCTAGCATACATATGAAACCTTCAGTTTTCCATTTGAAAATCAATTATGAACTTTAGAATTTAACTTCAAACTTTGAAAAGTAGTGTACTATTTGCTAGGTAGAAGCAGGCTTTTAAGCTGAGAGTTAATGTACATTTAAAGGTAAACAAGTACTTTATTTTGTTACTCAAAGACTTAAGTGACCAGCAACCAGATTAAAAGTGATTTTATGTGATATTGTGCTAATGTGGGACTAGGGCTTAGCGGGTGAGTTGGAAGAAGGGGAAAGGGCTTTCAATGATGATTGTTCTAGGATGCTGAGCACCAGTACTAATCAGTATATTGTAGTTCCTCTCTGTTTTTTTCTAATCTACTTTTTCTCTGTCCCAAGTACCCAATACCCTTCTCATCTCTTCTATAAATTTAGATACTTCCTGGCCTTACCTTCCTTTGAAATGCCCTGCGCTTAGGATGACCTTAAAATTTATCTTCTAAATTGACATACTTTTAAAGTGAAATGGGCACCATTAGTAATTATGCTAATGTAGATATAAACTGAGGCTTATGGTCGCCATTCGCATGTGTCAAAATACCTCCCTTTTCTCCATACCCAGATTGTACTAGGGAAGAAGGCCAATCAACAGAATTGAAGTGATTTTCAGTATAGTGTAAATGACCGATGGGTGTTGTTCTTTTAAGAGAATGATTTATCTACCCAAGTTACTATAGTCAATGGAATACTTAGCATGTATGTGCCTGGCCACCTGTTATCTGCTCGTTTCCTATTCTGAGTAGCTATACCCATGTGGTCTCTTACTTCTGAAGACTGACAGCTCTGCTTTAAATGCAGGCTACTTTCCCTGAAATAGAGACACACATCTCAGGTCATAACCAGCCTCTTTATTCATCTTCTCATCACATACTTGTACTTCCCCCTTTCCCTATTTGAATCCCTCCTTTCAAACATTGTACTCTCACTTTTTGTGCATTTTCTCTTTCTCTTCTGGGAGGTAATTTGATACACTGCAAAAACCCTAGAAATCAAGATCTGAGTTAAAGTAACTTAACCCTGGGTTAAAAGCACTTAAACTTTCTGTGCCTCGATTTCCTTATCTATTAAAAGATGGAACTATTAGGTGACTCAGGAATACCCCTCTAACTGTGAGATTCTATACTACTTGTCTTTTTATTTTCCTCTCTTTTCTTTTTAAGATTACCCTTTTATCTCTTTATTGCTTATGAATGCTTCATTTTTCCTGTAACTCATTTTGAAAAATTTAAAACTAACACACTGTAAGAATAATACAATGAACATTCATGTCCTTAACCTGTATTCACCAGTTGTTAACCTTTTTTGCCGCATTTACTTTTTCTATATATAAAGTATTAGTTTCCTATTGCTGCTATATTGAATTACCACAAATTTAGTGGTTCAAAAGAAAATGAATTTATTATCTTAAAGCTCTGGAAGTCAGAATTCCAGAATGAGCCTTACAGGGCTAAACTCAAGGTATCAGCAAGGCTGTGTTCTTTCTGGAGGCTTTAGGGGACTATCCATTCCTTGCCTTTTCCAGTCTCCAGAGGCCACCTGTGTTCCTTGTATCACTCAGACCTCTGCTTCCATTGTTATATTTCCTCTGACTGTACTTCCTGTCTACTTCTTATAAGGATTCTTGTGATTACATTGGGCACACCAGGTAGTCCAGGATAATCTTGCCATTTTAAGATTCTTAACTTAATCACAAATTCCCTTTTATTATGTAAAATAACGTTCATAGGTTCCAGGGATTAGGATGTAGACATCTTTGGAGGGCCATTTATTCTGCCTACTCACATTTATTTAATCTTTTTCCTTAGCAGACATCAAGACACTTCACTCTGAAAATACATGGGCATGCTTCTAAACAAGAACATTCTCCTACATAACCATAATAAAATATAATTTTATATATACATATATAGTACAGTATTATCTAATATATAGTCCATATTCAAGTCTTCACGCTTGTGTTAAAGTCATATTTGTAGCTATGTGTTTTTTTTTAATTCAGGACCACTCATTGCATATGCTTGTCATGCCCTTTTAGTTTTCTTTAATCTAGGTGAGTGCTCCAACCTTTCTTTCGTCTTTTATACATTGGCATTTTGCAGACATCTAGGCAATGTTTTGGCAGAATGTCTTTGTGTCTGATTTTTTACTTGTGATTAGATTAGGTTTTTTTTTTTTTGACAAGAATACTATTTAAGTGATGTGTCTTTCTCAGTGCATCACATCAGAAGGATGTCAGTTTGTCAATTCATTGATGATTATGATATGTTTGATCATTTGATTGAAGTTGATGCCTGCCAGATTTCTCCACAGCGGAGGTACCTTTTTTCTTTTGTAAATATAGAACTTCTCATTTAATTGACCATGATTTGAAAATTTGAAATACATGTCAATTAAATTAATTGAATATGAGTTTCCTTTTATATATAAATGTAAATAAGTTAGATTCTTCATTTAAAAATATGAAGTCCTCTTTTGATTTACATATTTCCTGGTATTATTTTCTTTCTTTTTCAATGATTTGATAGAAAATAATTTATCTCTGCTTAGGATTTTCCACTGTAAAATAGGTTTACATGCTAAAATATTTATAGATGAAATAAAATGTCTAGAATTTGCTTCAAAATAATGCAGTGGTGGTTGTAGGGGCAGAACTGAAACAGGATTGGCCAAATGCTGATTATGTTGAAGTTGGATAATGGGTACACGGGGTTCATTATACTACTATTTTCTATTTTTTATATGTTTGAAATTCTTTATTAAAAATGTTTAGGGAGCATTTGAGATCTTGCCTTCTGGCATACATTGTCAGTTTGGCTCAAATAAACTCTTATAAAAGAATTTTTTTTTAAATGTTTAAAAAACTAACAATGAATAGATACTTAAGAAATTCTGAGAATTATGGAGATTATTAGATATTCAAGACCTTGTGAAATGCTGGACCATGTGTGCCTTCATTCAGCAAATACTGTTTGAGTGCCTGCTGTGTGCCAGGCAGGCACTTGGTTGAAACTGAAGGCATTGTCCTCAAAGAATGCCATAAGGAGTGAAAGACACAAATAAACCATTGCAAGACAATGGATGGCTGTAAGAAAAGTATATATAAGATATAGTGATATACAAAGGAGGAAGTTGATTTAATGGCTATCAAGTAAATCTTTACAAAAGAAATGACACATGAGCTAAATACTTCTTTGTGAGATAACTTTTTGCAACTTTGTATATATCTTCTGAAATGAGTATGTCTAGATCTGTCTTTTCTGAAGTCAGTTTTGGTATTTCATATTTTCTTATAAAAGTCATCCCTGTAATCCAGGTTTTCAGAATTATTTGTAGAGTTTGCAAATTTATCTCATGATTTTTAATTTTTTTCTTTTTAAAAAATTTTATATCTTCTGGTTTTTTGAAGTTTTTCCTCTGTTTCTGAGATTATTTCCCCATTAATATTATTTATTTGTGTATTTGTGTTTTCAGTTTTCTTCATTACATTAATATAGTGTTTACTAATTTGTTTTTCTAAGAAACAGTGTAACATTATATATTTTCAAACTTTATATAATATGTAATATATAATACACCCAGTATATACTTTTTTTGTATCGAGTTTTTTTTCAGCATCATGTTTTTAAGATTTATCTATGATGCTGCTATATTTAACTATACAGTTAAGCGCTGCTTAACAACGGAGATATGTTCTAAGAAGTGCATAGTTAGGCATTTTTGGTGTTGTTCAAACATAGTGTACTTACACAAGCCTGATGGCATAACCAACTGCACATCTAGGCTATATGGTATACCCTATTGCTCCTAGGCCACAGGCCTGTACAGCATGCTACGATACAAAATAATACAAGATTAAAAACAATGCTATCAAGAGAAGCATGAACATGAGATGTGAGGATGCTGCTGGCACAACGCGGTATACTATGTTACAAAAAACTTTTTTTAGTGTACTCTAAAATAATGATCAAAAAGTATATAAATACACGAACCAGTAGGATAGGCATTTATTATCATTATCAAGTATTACGTGCTGTACATAATTGTATGTGTTACGCTTTTATACGACTGGCAGCACGGTAGGTTTGTTTACACCAGCATCACCACAAACGTAAGTAATGCATTGTGCTATGACATTACAATGGCTACGATGTCAACACAGCAAGAGCAATTTTTCAGTTCCATTGTAATCTTATGGGACCGCTGATGTATGTGCAATCTATTGTCAACTGAAAAATTATGCAGTGCATGACTATAGTTCACTTATTTTCATTGCTATGTAGTATTTCATGATATGAATGATCAGTTTTTTAATCTCTTATCTCGTTGGTGAACATTTAGGTTGTTTTCAGTTTGTGGCTATTTTGTCCCATTTTCTGGTTGTTATTAATGTCAGGAGGGCATAACTAGTATCAGTTATTCCATCGTAGCAGATACAGCCATTTAATATACTGCTGAATTTTATTTGGTAATATTTTATTTCAAATCTATTAAATAATGTTTATAATGACATTGGTTATGGCAGTGGCTCTCATTTGTGAATGATACTACTGGGCTAGCCCTATTCCTCTCCCTTTGGGGGAATTAGAAAAGTAAGGAGAATTTCTATAACAATGACTAGGAGTCACAGTTGGCATTTAGTGGGTGAGAGCACAGGACACTGTCTTGCAATGCAGTAGTCTGAATTTTCTCTCCTGACTTTTTTTTTTTATTTGTGCGTGTGTGTGCTTTCTTTATTCAGTTTTGACAACAGATTTCTATTAGCCTCCTAAAATAAGCTGAGAAGCTCTCCATCTTTTTCTGTACGCTGGAATAATTTAAATATTAGGAACTCTTATTAAATATTAGGAACTTCCTTGAAGATTTGGTAGAACTCATCGTTAAAACCAACTGTGCTTGATATCTTTTAGGTAGACCTTTGACGCTGTAGTTATTTTTTATAGTCAGTATGGGTAACTTATATTTTTCTAGAAAAACCACCTATTTCATTTACATACTTACTGTCTTCTGAGATGTAAAACTTTTTGATGTAAAGTTTTAATAATATGCACATATGTTTTTAAAAAAATCTCCAGTTATGCCTTCTTTTCTTTTTCTTCTGATACTATTTTTGTTTTATTTCTTGAATACATTTGGCAGAACTTTATTAATTCTTTTAATTCATTTTTTTACTAGTTTTAATGTTTACTTTGTCCTTTTTGCTAACTTCTTGATTTAATTGCCTCTCTAATATATGTTTAGTTTTGTTTTTGATATATGGCCCTGCCCACCCTTGTTCTTTCTCTTAAAATTATTATGGCTTTCACTTAGGTTCTATAAGGGCTCTTTTGGAAAGAATAGCTCATAACTACTGCATAGGCTTCTCTCGTACCCCTGTTAGGTTGCAGGTTTTAGTTCCATAGTTTTAGTGTTTATCTGATCAAATGATACTTGAGTAAAAAAAAAAAAAAGTTTAACATTCAGAAAAAGGCTACCTTAATTACCTCTCCACAGATATTAATCACTGCTGTCAGTTTGCTGTGTGCCTTTTGACCCTTTTCTATGCTACTATTTATAATTTGTATCGTTCTTAGAAATGTAAGCCATGTAGTGTGTTGGTAACAAATGGTATTTTACTGTATTTATTCTAAAATTGCTATTCTCTTTCAGTAGTGTATCTTGCGGGTATTTCCATGTCAGTATTTGTAGGTCTACTATATAAAATTTTTTAGTAACTGCATAGTATTCCATAGTATGCGTATATTTAGTTTACTTAACCATCTATCTATAAATGATATTTAGATATTTCTGGAAATTTATTTATTTTTTGACTCCAGTAAGCAATGCGGCTATTAGGACATTTTTGTACATTCTTTCATTCCTCTGTGAATATTACTTTATAAGGAATGGAATTAAATGGGTCATAGAGATGTATGTTTTCAGGGATTTTTGCCAGTTTGCCCTTTAGAACATCTATACTAATATACATTCCTTTCGGCAGCACCAATTTTCCATATTCTTGGTTTACTTTTATTAGTTTTTTGCCAAACTAATATATGAACCGAAGCAACTCATATATATTCTAGTTGGTTTCTGCCTTCCTAAAATTCTTAAAAATTCCTTATCCACTGTTGGCATCTTTCTGTGCTATAATGAATATTCTTCTATGTATATCTTTGTTTTTTTCTGAATGTATCTTTGCTATCATTTTAATATAATTTTAGAAGAAAAGGTGAGCACATGTCTTTAACCCACTATTCTGAACTGTCATGGATGCTGGATTTTTGACTGTGATTACTAACTCACTTTTGCATGCCAGTTTCTACATTCCCACAATTTAAATTTGTGTATCAACATAAATCTATGTGTCATGATCTTTGAGGCTAATGACTAAATGCTTAAAACAGTAAGTGTAAACTGAATGCTAAGATTCTACTATACTTTCTGCAGAATGGTATTTAAACAGGGTAACCTTTTTGGAATCATTATTAAATTAGGGAATCTGTTACATTAATAAAAATTAATAGTAATGATTTTTAAAAATTTTATTTTTAGGTATTAGAATATTTAAATGATCTAAAACAATATTGGAAAAGAGGATATGGGTATACGATCAATAGTCGATCCAGCTGCACCTTATTTCAGGATATCTTTCAGCATTTGGACAAAGCAGTTGAACAGAAAAAAAGGTAAGAACTTAAAAAAAATTTTTTTTGATGTTTATTCAGAATGCCCATTTAAGCTTCTGGAAAATATTTTATAATGAGTGATTTTAAAAATTAGATTTTTAAATTGCTTGTGTATTTAAAAAATATTTTAATATAATAATTATACCTATAAAAGAATTGGATGATATATATAAGTTATAAAGTATATAAACCCTCCATTCAACCCAAGAACTAGAAGATTACTAATAATTTACATTTTTTCTTTTTGTGTTCCTCAGTGATTCCAATTTCCTTGCCCCCTCAACTCCCTACCCCCTATAACTACTGTTCCGGTTTGGTGTCTATCATTCCTTTGCCTCTTTAAAAATAGTTTTATTGCCCAAACAATATGTTTAGTTTTGCCTAGAGTGAAATGTTTATTGTCTTCTGGGATCTTTTTCCTCTCAACATTACATTTATAATATTCACCATGTGTTGCATATACTACAGTTTATTCATTTTTACTACAGTATGCTATTCAATAATGTGCAATATTCAATAAATACCACAGTTTATAACATCTTCTCTTGTCAGTGGGCATTGGCATTTCTATATTTTGCTATTACAAAAATAGTGTAAGTTTACATGGCTCCCAGTATGAATTGCAAAATGTTTTTATTTTAAATGAGAGTTTCTCTTCGTAAAGCCTTTGTTAACATTGTTAACATATTTTTTAAGATTTTTAAAACACTTTTTATAATTTGAACCTTTTATATAATCTAAACCCCATTTTATTTGACAAATATGCTTCCATGAAAGCTTATACATTCACAATTGGAGACAAAAGTCATGCTGTAAAGATTGATACAGAAAGACAAGATGTTGTAGCTGATTGTATTTGCAATATTAAGTTGTTATATACATTCAGAAAGAAAAAGAGGAGTGTTTTTTTGTGTGTGTTGATCTGATTCTAGTTTATGCAGTTTTCTTGGGTGTGATGGGAGTTAGGTAGGAAAACCAGATTATTTCATTTCTGCTACCACTTCCATGGAGGAAAAACAGTTAAGGCAAGTTCCATCTTTGAGATAGGTGTTAACTTCTTTTCTGCTTAGTTTTGTGAATGGTTTAAAACCCTTTTACTTTATGAGATAACAGATCTTTACTATTTGTTTATTGTTCGTTCGTCTTATTGTCGAATATGAGGTATGTCAAACTTAAAATCATGTCAAAAAGATTCTTAAATAATTTTTGAAGGTTTACTTTTACAATTTGATTCCAGACTTAAAGATAAGTAAGAAGTTTATCATTGGTGTTTGAAAATAAGTATTTATGTACACTGAAAACTACAAAACTTTACAGAGAGAAATTAAAGGTAACCCAAATATATGCAGAACTCTTCTATCTTTATGGATTTAAAGACTCAGATTAATCATCTGTTGACTGAGTGCAATGACAATCCCAGTAGGTCTCTTTGTAGAAATTGAGAAGCTTATTCTAAAATTTATACAGAAATGCAAAGGACCTAGAAGAACTAAAGCAATTTTGAAAAAGAAGAACAAAAGGACTTATAAATATCCAACTTCAAAACTTATTATAAAACTGTAGCCATAGACAAATTGGTCAATGGAATAGTCAGTAAATAAACTCAGATATATATGGTCAATTTATGACAAAGATGCCAAAGTAATGCATTAGTGAAAAGGATGGTCTTTTCAATAGCTGATGCTGGAACAATTTGGATATCTATATGTTAGAAAATGATACGTAGATCCTTACTTCATACTATACACAAAAATAGATCATAAATTTAAATGTAAAATATAAAATTGGAAAACTTCTAGAAGAAATTGTAGGATCAAAAACCTATATATAAGAACTAAAACTATGAATAGGAGTAAATCTTCATGATCTTGGATTAGGCAAAGATTTCTTAGATACAACGCCAAAAGCATGGTCATAAATGGACTTCATCAAAATTAAAAACCTTCGTGTTTCAAAAGGCACTGTTTGGAAAATGAAGACAAGCAATAGACTTGGAGAAAATATTTGTAAGACATATACATATGATTAAGGATTTGAATCCAGACTATACAGGGAAGTTACGTCTCACTAATAAGGGGACAACCCAATTTTTAAAAAGCGCAAAACATTTGAACAGACACTTCACTAGAGATGTATGGATGACAAACACATGAAAGATGCTCAACGTTATTATATATTAAAACTACAGTGAAATACCATTAATATATCCCCTAAACTGGCAATGAAATAATAGAAAAAATATATATTGATCTTTGCTTCAGATTCCTGACATAGGCCTCCTGAAGCTCTGTAATTGTGTCTTTTGTTCTAATGAGACAACTCTGGGTGGGCTTCTGGACGGCTCTGGGATGAGGGTTGGTTGCTAAAAAGACCAAGCCATGATTAATTAGAAGCTTGGAATCTTCACAGCCCTAACCCCTCTTCTCTTGAAAAGGGAGAAAGACTGGAAATGGAGTTAATAATCATGTCTACATGATGAAGTTGCCATAAAAATCCAAAAATTATAGGGTTCGGGAAGCTTTGGGGTTACTGAGAGAGTGGCGTACCTGGAGAGGGTATGGAAGCTCTGTGCTCCTTCTCACATACTTCCCCTGTGTATCTGTCCCATCTGGATGTTCATCTATATCCTTTATCATATTCTTTGATATATGGAAAATGTGTTTTCCCCAGTTCTATGAGTCATTGTAGCAAATTAATTGAGCCTGACTAAACCTGAGGAAGGGGTTTTGGGAACTGCCGATTTGTAAACAAGTTAGAAGTTGTGGGTAACCTGGGTACCTGATACTTGAAAAACGACACCTGAAGTAGGGGGCAGTCTCGTGGGACTGAGCTCTTAACCTGTGGAATTTGACTCTATTTCCAGGTAAATAGTGTCAGGATTGAGATACATTGTAGTTGGTGTCACAGAGAACTGCTTGGTGTGGGAAAAACCCAGACATTTGGTGACCAGAAGTGTCAGAAGTGTTGTGAGTGTGGTAGTGGTATGCGAGTAAAGGAGAAAACACAGGAGGAAAAGACTTGAGTGTTTTTCCTGTTCATTGGCTAAATTTTTTTAAAAAGCATTGTCCTAAGTGTTGATGAGATTTGGAGAAACTGGGAACCTCATACATTTCTGGTGAGAATTTAAACTGTACAGCCACTTGGTAAAGTTTGGCAACTTCTTAAAAAGTTAAACATATATCTATTATATGATATAGCAAATCCAGTCCTAAGTACACTTCAAAGAATTATACACTGCTGTACACTTCTTTTGGGTACTTAGGACTGGATTTGCTAAATGTTTACAGCAGTATTATTATAATAGCCAAAAACTGTGAACAGTTCAAATGTCTATCAACTGATAAATATTTATACACAATGTGGTATTTTTTTCATATGATGGGATACTACTCAGCAATAAAAAAGAATGAACTGCTGATAGATGCAGCAAAATGAATGACTTCAAAAACATGCTAATTATAAAAAGCCAATTGCATAAGATTATATATTGAATTATTCTGCATATTTGAAATTTCTAGAAAAGGCAAAACTTTACAGATGAAAGTGCATCGGTGATTGCCTGAATCTGGACGTGGGAGCAGAGACTGACTGCAAGTGGTTTTAAGGAATTTTTTCTTTTTAATTTTATTTTTATTATTTATGCCTACAGCACCTGGTCTTCCTAGGTGGTCTCCCATCCAAGTACTAACCAGGCCCAACCCTGCTTAGCTTGTGAGATCAGACATCGGGCTTGTTCAAGGTGGCCTGGCCGTAGACCATGGACTGTGGCTCCACTGGGGCATGAACCCAGGACCTTCTGCATGTAAAGCAGACATGCTAACCACTACACTATGGAACCACGTCCAAAGGAATTTTTTAAGGTGATAGAAGTGTTCCCAAACTGGATTGTGACGATTGAATACACAACTGTTATATTTACTACAATTGATCTAACTTAACAATAAAAACAGTTGAATTTTATGGTAGTTAAATTATATACCAGTAAAACATTTTAAAATAGTATAGGTATTTAATGAAAGGAAAAGGGGAAAATAAAAGAAAAATAATTTTTTGGTATAAGTGGAAATAATTTTTAAAGAATTTACTAATTAAAAAAAAAAAATGGAATCTGAGAGTTTTTATACAAGATGGTCCCAAAATGTTTATGACATGTAATTGTTAACAATGTGTTTTTAAATTATTAGTTCACTTCCCTGCTTTAATTAAATATATTGGAAAATAATTCAGTTTTTTTTAATTAAGGCTCTTACAGTCATATAGAGCAAATACTTTTTTAAAAAATATTATTTTTTAGAGCACTTTTAGGTTCACAGCAAAATTGAGTGGAAGGTAAAGAAATTTCCAGTATTTCCGTCCCCCCAACCCACATATGCACAGCCTTCCCCACTATCAAAATCCCGCACTAGAATTATTTTTCTTCAATTTTATTGAGAAATAGTTCATATACCGTATAGTTCACTCATTTCAAGAGTACAGTTTAACAGTTTTCAGTATATTCACACAGTTGTGCAACCATCACCACTATTTAATTTTGGATCATTTTCGTTGCCTCAAAAAGAAACCCCATGCCCATTAGTAGCCCCTCCCCACTTACTCTCTCAGCACTAGGCAATGACTAATCTACTTTCTCTATGAGTTTGCCTTTTCTGGACATTTAGGTAAATGGAATCATATAATAGATGTTCTTTGTGACTGGCTTCTTTGACTTAGCATAATATTTTCAAGGTTCATACATATTGTAGCATGTATCAGTATTTCATTCTTTTTTATGGCTGATAGTGTTCCATTGTATGAATATGCTTTATTTTGTTTATCCATTGGTAAGTCGATGGATGTTTGAGTTGTGTCCACTTTTTGACTGTTGTAAGTAATGCTACTGTGAATATCTGTATACAGATTTTTGTGTGGGTATATTTTCATTTTGGTTCGGTATGTGCATAGGAATGGAATTTCGAGGGTGTCATTAATTTTGACTATCAGAGATTGCTAAAGAATATTAA